CCTTGGGGTCATTGGTGTCACCCATGGGGCCATTGGGGTCACCAGGGTCACCTTGGGGACACTGGGACCACCTTGGGCTCATTGGGGTCACCTCGAGGTCATCAGGGTCACCTTGGGGACACTGAGGTCACCTTGAGGTCACCTCAGGGACATTGGGGTCACCTCGAGGTCATCAGGGTCACCTTGGGGTCATCAGGGTCACCTTGGGGACACTGAGGTCACCTTGAGGTCACCTCAGGGACATTGGGGTCACCTCGGGGTCATCAGGGTCACCTCGGGGTCAGCAGGGCCACCTTGGGGACACTGAGGTCACATTGAGGTCACCTCCAGGTCACTGGGGCCACCTCAGGGACATTGGGGTCACCTCGGGGTCATCGGGGTCACCTTGGGGACACTGAGGTCACCTGAGGGTCACCAGGATCACATTTGGGACATTGGGGTGACCTTGGGGGCATTGAGGTCACCTCGGGGTCACTGAGGTCACCTCGGGGTCACTGAGGTCACCCATGGCACATTGGGGTCACCTCGAGGTCATCAGGGCCACCTTGGGGACACTGGGGCCACCTCGGGGACATTGAGGTCACCTCGGGGCCATCGGGGCCACCCCAGGGCCACCAGGTCCCGCTCTGGGGCCACCGCACAGGAGCCACGGCCACCAAAGGCTGGGGGCTCGTGGTCACTGCGGGGTGACCGAAATTCCCGAGTTTGTCCCCAAAATTCACCCCGAGGTGGGACAAGGACCCAAACCCCGGGTTTGTCCCCAGAGTCCCCTCCGGCGTGGACAGATGGCCACGCCATGTCCCCGTGTCCCCCCCGTGTCCGTCTGTCCCCACCTCGTGTCCAGCTGTCCCCTCTCGGCCGTTGGGGCGTGTCCTGTGTCCCCACACGTGTCCCCGTGTCCATCCCCGTGTCCCCACACGTGTCCCCAGGTCTGTCCTGTGTCCCCACACGTGTCGCCCTGTCCGTCCCATGTCCCCCTGTCTGTCCGTGTCCCCTGTGTCCCCCACTCACCCTCTCCCGGTGTCTCCATGGGGAATCTCAGCAGTTCCTTGGCGTAGTACTCCTGGGGGTCCTCGGGCTGCCGGAGCCGCGCTCTGTCCCTGTGTCCCTGTGTCCCCCTGTCTGTCCCCATGTCCCCAGCTGTCCCGTGTCCCCGTGTCCCCTCTCACCCTCTCCCGGTGTCTCCATGGGGAATCTCAGCAGTTCCTTGGCGTAG